CCTGGGACTGGAATGCGGGGAGCAGAATGGGACTGTGGGTGGCTCCTCACTGCTGCGCACACTCCCAGGCGTGCATGGGGGGCACATGTGTTCCCCACCCCACCCCACCCAGATCTGTGCATGGGGCAGGGGGGGGAGGGCTGTCTGCTTCAGGCCCAGGCTCCCTGCCCTGCTCCCCTCCTCCCAGAGCCTCCATGGCCCAGTGGACAGGACCTGGCCTGGCAGGTCATAGGGGGTGGGGAAGCTCTTTGCCACTGTGAGCCCTGCATCACCCTGGTGAGGCACCCCCTGCCTAACCAGCAGCAGCAGGGCTGGTGGTGCAGGGATCAGTTTGGAACCAGATTTGAGTTTTGATGCAAACCAATCTGGCCAGTCCTAATAATTGGAGACGTGCATGGCTGCACTTAGAAAATGTTCCAGAATGTAAGAAATAAGCAGCAGTGCAATTAAACTGAGGGGGTAAAAATCCAGCAGTAATGGTGGATGATCCTGCTCTGAGTAGAGGGTTAGAAAATCAAACCCTGATTTTCTATGATTCTGTGACATCCATGGTGTGGCCTCCTATAGCAATAGTGCTGACTTGGTATGGTGTAACAGACAGGACTGTGCGCCAGGTTTACAAGGAAAAAATAATGCCTCCAAAACTATTGCCTATTCTAGGCAAGAAATTTTAAAAAAGACCCTATTCTAATAACAGAATCTCATTATATAGACTCTGAGAAATGTTTGAATAAATATGCAAGTGCACAATTCACTGATGTGTTATTTCTTTGAATTCAGTCATCAGAGCCAGCTTTAGAGGTGGGTGACATGGACAACCACCCTGGGTGCCGTGGTCAGAGGGCACAAAATACATGCATATATATATTACACATACACACACATATGGGCAGCCCATGCTCTCCCCATGCCCTGTACTCTTCCTCTGTCCTGCCCTGCCCTACCTAGTCTCCAGACAGGAGGAGCGGTGCCCAGCACCCCCCCACCACCACCACTTCTCAGGGGACCCAAGCTGGGTATATGTGGCTGGGAGCATCTGATCCAATCTGCCTGCCTTGCTCCCACACAGCAGTGGTGCCTGCCTGCCCACCTACCTGACACAACATGCTGCTCCACCTCCTCGCTGGACTGCACCCTGGACCCCTGCCTACCTCTGCCTGCAGAAGCATCACTGACTTGGATGCGGGTGTCAAAATACAAGTTCCCCCAGGGTGCCACTTTCCCTAAGACCACGTCTTTGGCAGCCATTTCACAAGCATAAAGCTGAAATGACATGGTGATAAACTAGCCCCAAATTTTCAGGGAAATAATCTCGTGAAGTCTACCTCTTGAACAAGTTGTGTCAATATCTTTATATCTGGCACATAAACCCCTTTAATGAATGTGGCTGTAATGGGCTACTCTTCAGATTTCAATTCTTATTTTTTTCTCATCAGGGAGGAGTGAATGGTTTGACTGGAGAACTGGAATTTGCAGAAAATGGAGGGAATCCCAATGTTCATTTTGAAATTTTGGGGACCAATTATGGAGAAGATCTTGGCCGAGGCATCCGCAAGGTGAGACCAAGTATATTAAATCACAGATTAATTTTTATATAATATAGATTTTTTTGTGTTCTGTCCAAACAGCCAAGAATTTGATTGCAAATCATAAAACAACCTGTTTTGCTTCAGTAAAAGTAAAGAAGTGGAAGAAAGGTCCTAAACTTCCAGCTACCCTTCTGACCTTATGTGTAAAAGAGGCCTTAAAGTAGCTAATATTAACAGAGAAGTCCAATTTAATAATACAGAACATGCTAACCTGCTGATAGACCTTCCCAAAAGACCAGTGAAGCCTGTTACTTTGTAACAACTACAACTGTATTTCCAAAGCAGTAAATTTTACTTTGAAATGCATGCAGAGTAGCCAGTTTTACACTGGCAAAATGTTTAAGGTCTGAAAGAGATGCTCCAACTGTTAGATTAACAGAATTCCTAGGTACAGGGAGAAAAGAAAAAAACCTACTGAAAAATGAAATATTACAGAATTTCAGCATCTAAGTTTTTCAAATGATAAGTACAAGCTGTTTTAGTAGAAATGGGCTTTCATGCTAGAGATTTCATGTGAGGTACTATGAGTGCAAGACAGGAAGGGTATTTCATGAAATAACATGACTCAGATTTTATTTCAGAATTGCTTCAGTCCCCAAGAGAAATAACTTATCTCAATACTCAGATTTTGCCATATTTTCTGTTGAGAGAATTCTAAGGTGACTGAAGATGGTACAAAAGATGGAGGTAAATTTCTGGTTGAAATAATATCAGTGTTCATTTTTAGGCAGCTGTTTCTTCTGAGTGATCTGGAGCAATTTAAATAGTAAGGACTATACTTCTCAGCTAAAATCAAAACAGAAAACAGGTTTCAGAACTACTTGTGTTGAGTTACTTCATTGCTTTTCATATGTGAAGTAGCTAACTTAAAGCAAAAAAGAGAAAGATGATATTTTAATTTTAGTGTACATAATTCTGGTTACCTATGATGATGTCTACACACTAAAGTATATTGTATACAAATGTACATACCTGAAAAGTACAGTTTGTGTGCCTAAGAGAAAGAGATATAGATAGAGGTAGGCAACAAAATATTTCCACGGTCTTGAAATACAACTGCACATTTGTTTCTTTGCTGCATATTTCAACAGGTGGTTTGGTATTTCATTAATGTGGTGGCATTGTATATTGCTGGTAACCTAATATACGGTATATCTTTTTATGTCACTTTGAACAGTGATCATGTCATGTGGCATGAACCTAAACAATCTTTGTTGACCTCTGGATGCATTCTGGACAAAGGTTTTGGGGGCCCAAATGCTAATCCCTTCTTCTTCTCCCAACAATAAATTGAATCTGTTTCAATGTACTTTAGCTTTTGTTCTGTGTGCTTAAAGAGCTATTTAATTTTTAGAACACCAGATTTGTCTTCCCTCAGAACATCTGTTTATCTTCATTTCATTTAATTGACCAGCTTTGACTGTTTTTTGACTGTGGGCATAACTACTTAAATGCTTCAATACCATGTTTAATTCTGGTCCCCTTGTCTCAAAGTAAGTAAATAAAACAGAAATAGAAAGGGCTCAGAGAAAGGTAGTAGAAATGAATGGAGGCATGAAAAGTCTTTTACTTGCAGAGATATTGAAAAGCTTGGTGTTTTTTTAAACTTAGAGAAAAGACTAATAAGAATCGACATGATAGAGGTATACAAAATAATGAATAGTGCAGAAATGCTCTTCAGGCACTCCCATTTACTTTTTCCCATGGTCAAAGGACAAGGAAACAGTCACTGACCTTGAGAGGAAATAAAATTAAAGCTGGTCAAAGAAGTAGTCTTTTTACACAAGGCATAATTAACTTGTGAAACTCATTGTCCAAAGATCCCATTTAGGACAAGCGTAGAGGATTAAAAAGAGAGTGAAATACTTGAAAACGTGGATGTTCTTGTTTCTGCTACTTTTAATGGAATAAATATTTTAAAATAATATAAATACCTCATCCTTTGGGGTATAAGCCCAATTGACATTTCCTTGAACTTTTGTAGGAAATACTGCCCCTGAAGCATCGGGCACTAAAACAATATTTTCATATGCTTTTATTCCCCAAAGCGTTCATTAGATAGTTGGGACTGGTGAGTAGTGTGGTCCACCATAATTATCCTCATTCGGTCTAAACCCCTTACAGACAGAAGATGGGTTATGCATAACAGGCTGCCAAGGGCTCCACTTGGAGTAACAGGGGCAGGCCATTGCTAGATATTGGACCAATCAGTGGCAAAAGTCATAAGGCATGACTATTCCAAATAAGATGAACAACTGTTGGTTTTACTCATTACACTTTAGTTGGAACATGTGCAGCAATGGATATTTTTTAATAGAAAATTCTGGAGCATTTATGACATTTGTCTGTTGCCATTTGACATTTAGGCAGGTATTCTTTAACATTTACTTTTTAGAGTGGGGTACTTTTACCTATAACTTTTAAATACAAGTTGCTATTCCTCTAGAAAAACAGCCAACAAACAAATGAACAAAAGGAAGGTGACTGCTCAGAGGAGTAACACTTTTTTTTTGCACTTCAGAAAAAAAGTACTACAGAAGGAAAACTTGTTTGCTATTTATTTTAGCATTTCTCTTAGAAGGCAAACCTAGTTTCAAATAGGACTTAACTTACTCCTTTTGGTGTATAAGATGTTCCTTCTTTCCAACTCCTTTTCAGAATTATTTACTGCCTTGCAGCTAACAATAATGCCTTCTCCTCCACTCACATCTTTGTTATCACTTCCCTTTCCCTCCATGTTTTCTCCTTGTTCTTCTCCTGTTCCCTTTTTCCCTTTTTCTTCACTGGTTCTGTCATTGCGTTTTCCCCTAGTTGATTTTTCACCGCACTGCTTGGTGCTCAGTCCTAGTAGTTCTCTAAAGGAGGAAAGTCCTAATAAGGGAACATGTCTCCATGGCATTCAGGGTTGAGCCAGGGATAAGAAGAACAGTGGTACCCAAATGTTTCAGTGATCTATTGCTAGCCCACAAAAACTCTTGTGAACCACTCTGCATCTAGATAATCAAACTTTCAGTTGAACGCTTAATAAAGATGCATGTGTCCTGTGCACAATCCATAGACCACTTACTATGGCCTCATGGACTACAGTTTGAGAACCACTGTATGGGGGCTAGACCAGTAGGGAACACAGGGTAGTGCCTTAGCTTGAACTAAGCAAATTTCTCTCAAAGGAATCGGAACAAAATGACACTAAATGTGAAAGATTGTGTTAAGGCCTAAACCTTAACTGTATGCATATGTATAGGTATTGTTTACATTTGTTGTTACTGCTATGCACTATAAAAAGCCTTAAGGATCAATGACTAGGGACTTTGTTACACACTAATTTTAGGCAGCTCAGGAAGCTCTTAACCCTTGGACTGTCCATATATTAAGGTGTTTAAACTAGTTTTAAGCACCTGTCAGGCATCTCAGTTATGCCACCCCAGGGCAGGTTTCTCTTTAATCCATGTCACCTAGCTTTTGTCCCATAAATGTGTGGCCACTCCCCAGAGATAAGGTTGCCCAAGCTTCAGTCCTCAAGCATCTAAAGGTGCACTGTTCCCTCCCCCATCTTCCTGTTCTGTGTGGACAATGCACAGCTGTAGTTCGTAGTCAGCCAGCCCTCTAGTGCCAAGTAATAGCTGTACAAGTCAGGGAAAGTCAGAGAAGGCTTTCAGCTTGGATGTGTATTACTCTAAACTTGAACTAACATGAACACTAACACCAACGAATATTTGAGAAGCTTAAAATACAATGTGAAAAGCTTAAAGGCCCTAAATTGCTCACTAATTAGAATGCCTCATTGATGCTAAGATAGAGCACTGGCAGGACCTGGTCCTAAATTCCCAAACTTGAGGCTCAGGGAGCAAGCACCAATGTAGCCCTCCACCAGGGTCACAGCTGATTAACAAAGATGGAGCAATGGGGGGGCGAGGGGGGGAGGCAGGGGGGGCTACACTTTGGGAAGAGCTTCCACTGCTGGCCCCTGATTGGCCAGGGCTCCCAGATTAGTTCTTCCCATCTCTATAATGCTTGCACAGGCAACAGCTAGCTAAGGTTCTTGTTGCTTCCAGACTTCTCTGCTGCTTCCTGTGTCCTTGTCTCCTGACCCATGGCTTGATGTGCTGTTGCCACCCTGGTCTGGACTCTGACAACCACCTCTGTCTTCCAACTTGTTCTGTCTCAGACTTTAGGTATTGACCCAGCTTGCATCCTGAGTTGGGCCACTGCCTGTTGACTCAGCTTTGTCTCAGACCCCAACCTCCTACCTTTGACCTAGCTATTGCTCTGGCCATCCATCCTTGCCTTGTGCTGATCTGTAAGCAGTCTGCACACACCTTGGTTCATGACAAGCACTAACTAAAGTTATTTAATTTACTCTTATTGCAGAGCAGTTTCTAGAGTTAGTGTTGCTTGATCAGCAGTCATGCTATTTCTGAAGGAATGGTAGGGTAAAAATAGGCAATTGAAAGGGAAAGCAGATAAAAGGAGAGTTAGAAAAGAAAATGCTTGTGCTATGGCATTCCCCAGGAGTGGGAACAAGGAAAGGTAAAAACAGTGCTAATTAGAAGAGATGCACATGTTGAAGAGTGCCATTACCTCATTCTCATTGTGAGGCCATGTGGTCCATCAATTAAGTTACTGGGCAGCCTTGAGATCATGAAAATAACACATTACTGCTCTATGAAAAGCAAACAGTAGTTGTTAGGAATGTGCTTACCTTCTCTGGTGAGTGGGATGACATTGTTCATTTTCTGATAATGATCTGACTACTGTAGTGCATACATCAGTCACTTGTACATTGGGTGATGGCAGCCAACTCTTTCTGGAATTCACTTAGCTGCCTCAACTGACCTGAACCTCTGAGAATGAAACCACTTTTAGTTAAGTGTCCAAATATGGAGCTAAGAGACTAATTTTAGGCACCCAAATTTGGAAATTGTAATTACCTATTATTTTAGTTTTAGAGCATTCCCCTTGAGTTT